GGAGAGACTGTGATTCAGTGGTAGAGTATATGCATTGCATGTAGAAGGTTCCAGGTTTCATGAATATAGATAGGACTAGAGAAACTTCTGCTTGAAACCCTGGAGAGCTGTTGCTGCTAGTTAGTGTTGATAATATGGGTCTAAATGGACCAATGCTCTGACGCAGTATAAGGCAGTTTCCAGTATACCTATGATGTGTTTAGAACCTTACAGAATATATTCCGGGGATTGTTTAAGAAGCAAATATTAGGTAGAATAGCATACACAGTTCTGATTGGCTTACCTGCATTGTTGTTCAATTGTCAAGTGCTATGGAATTGTCTCCAACTTATGGCAACTCTATGAATGAATGCCCTCCAAAATGCCCTGTCCTTGCCAGCCCTGCTCAGCTCTTGCAAATCTGAGTCTGTGGCTGTTTTTATGGAATTGAGCTGCCTCATATTTGGTACTCTTCCTCTGCCTTTGACTTTCCCTAGCATTGTCTTCTCCAGTGAGTCTTGCCTTCTCGTGATGTGTCCCAACTATGACAACTTCAGTTTAGTCAATTTTGCTTCCAAGGAAAGTTCTGGCTTGATTTGTTAATTAATATATACCACCATGCAATAAAACAGATCCCAGGGGAGTTTATATCAATAAAATAAGAGTAAAGTCAGCACGGAAGCACATATCAATCAACACAAAATACCAACAGTTAAGAGCAGAGGTTCAAGATTTCAAATTAAAGTTCAAGGCTTAAAAACATGGGAGTATGACTAAAAGGTGTGTGTACCCAGCAAGTATTATGATAAATATTTTGAAAATTCTGGGGAGTTACTAGCTTTAGAGAGATTTGTGAGGAATATCTGCATTAAAAGGACATGCTTTTTTCAAGAAATGAAATATTTCTAATCTGCTAAACAACAATAGTGGGTTGTATCTAACACAGCCTTCTCCTAGTGGTGCCTTCCAGCTTCAGTCAGTCCCAGATATCATGGCCAATGGTCAGGAACACAGCGTGTGTAGTTCAAAATACCTGGGTGACACCAGGAAGATAGTTTCATTGTCATGCAACATCAGTAAAAGTACATAATTACATTCTTTTGCCAGTAACTGGGTGTTTTGCTAGACACTGTACATGTACTAGCAGAAAAACAAGTGGAGCTAGAACAAATGTACATAAAATACAGTGTAATCAAGTTGCAAAGAGTTGTGCAATGGTTCGTGAAATAGCTTGTGGAAATAGAGTCAAAATATTGGTTTGACACTTGCACTAGAATGAAAGTGGGGTTTCTCCAAGGGGTAGGAGCTTTGCCCTAATCTAGTGAAACGACACCATTGAATCCAACCTAATAGGACTTGGAAGAGATGGGTCAGATAGTCTCTGTAATCTTTTGGGTCTGTAGCTGAAGGTGCTTAACAAGTGAATATTCTGGGCTCTTATAAGGTAAAAAGATTATAACTTCTGAGAATTTAGGTGCACTGAACACTTCCATTCTGAACTTACTTTATGTGCATCTCCTTATGACAGAGATTTAAACATCATTACACAGATGTAACTGACATCACTTGCAGTAACATCTTTCAGTGCATTAAAAAATAAGTTTAATGTGTACTGGAACCTGACATTTCTAACTAAATGGTGGTTCCTAGAAATGTGGCTGCTTATCTAAAGTACATGGTATAAATACATTTATACATTTTCCCATTCTGTGAAGGGTTAAGAGAAACCTGTGAAGAGGTTTCTCTTAACAATCTAAACTATTGGTTACCATTGGCCATAGAGAAATGTAGGATCTAGATTCTCCTTTGTGGGTGGGATGTGGAGGAGGGCTCTTCTGCATTGCTGTATTAGGATATTGTGGATTGTGAACCTTTATTCATTGGTAGGGCTGGACTAGATGACCTTGAGAGACATTTCAGCTATGCAGATCTGCTATAGTATACTTCTTTTGATCGATGAAGTTTGTGATAGGTTTTGATTTGCTGCCATCTGCTGGTCAGATTTATTACTTGGCTCAACAGCAAACAGTGGTGTTGGAAGCAGGTCTTCCTCCACCCGCTTTTTCCATCCCTAGCAGCTTAGATGAAACTTTTTATTAGCACTATACAGGTTACACAATAGCATAGAACAAAATAATGTTCTCGTTGAGATGTAGGGGAAGCCTCTCCCCATGTGAAGCACTGAATCCAAACTGAAATATCCTGCCCTTTTCTTCCTTTTCATAAGGATATTGATCCTACTTTCAGCATGGCTTCTGTGGCTAGATGGTGGGACCATCAGACACTTCTTAATTTATGTACTTATTTTGTCCATTGTCTCCTTATAGGGTTAAGGAACTCCCCCTAAATCTCCTCTTCTCCTCATTCTGAAATGTCTTCCTCCTTTTGTCACACGCTGACTATCTTCACTAGTGATCTTTGAAACTGCAAAGTCATTTCCTTCACTCTATCACTGCCTCAGAATCTACCTGAGCAGATTACAACATGCAAGATCTGGGGGCCCTTTCTGCATGTGGCTACATTAACAGTTGACTTTTGCCTTTAAAGCCTAGTTTCTTGAGTGGGGTAGAATCCAGCTTGAAATACCTGAGATCTAGTTTTACTTAGACGTAACAACTGTTCTTCCTATATTTATTTGTGTAATATTTTTGATCCATTAAAGAATGCTTTCTGAATATCTTGAAACACACTATTTATAACATAGATACTGGCAGCACTTTGTTCAGAAATCCTTAACATTATTTATACTGTTGGATACAAAGAACTATGACCACCAGTCCCCACTGTTCCAGAAATCATAGAATACTAGAATTGGAAGGGGACAGAGGGCATTGGGTCCAAGCCTTTGCTCAGTCCGGACTTCAAGTTAAGCCATTTCTCTCAGCTGGTTGTCCTGCTGCATCTTGAATGCCTCTAGTGTGGGAGAGCCCACAACCTCCTTAGGTAATTGGTTCCATTGTAGGACTGCTTTCACAGTCAGGAAGTTCTTCCTGAGGTTCAGCCAGAACCTGGCTTCCTGTAACTTGAGCCCATTATTCTGTGTCCTGCACTCTGGGATGATCAAGAAGAGATCCTGGCCTTCCTCTTCATGAAAACCTTTCAAGTACCTGAAGAGTGCTATCATATCTCCCCATAACCTTCAAGGGTTAACACCCTCAGTTCTTTCAGCCTCTCCTCACAGAGCTTTGTTTCCAGCCCACAGATCATCCTTGTTGCCCTCCTCTGAACACTTGCTATCTTTTCTGCCTCTTTCTTAAACTGTGGTGCCCATCTGTGCATCTGTGCCCCAGCTAGCCAGGAGTCACAGTACTCTAGATGAGGCCTAACCAGTGCTGAGTAAAGGGAAATAACACTTCATGTTATTTGGAAGTGCAGTCCAAAATAGCATTTGCCCTTTTTGTAGCAACATCAAATTGAACTTGTGATCTACAACAATTCCAAGATCACATTTGCAGTATTGTTGAGCCAATCACCCCCTCCCCGCATCTTGTAATGATGCTTTTTGGTTTCTTTTTCCTAGGCAGACTGCTTGTGTAAGAGTTCATGTCAGTAGGTATATAGCCATTCTTATGCTTTCAGTTGCATAATGATGATGTTTCACAAATTCTTGTGGAAGTAGAAGAACATGCCCGGTTTTAGTTATACATTTTTCATTCAATATTCCAGCAAGAGGGACAAAACTGTCCTGCAAGTAAAAGACACTTACCACATGAAGAAGGGCATCTTTGCATCAAACCTACTGATTTAGAATTTGCCTCTCTCCATAGCTATTATTTTCTGGAAATAGATGTCTAAGAATTTAATGAAGAATTTAACACAAAAATTGCTATTATATAGTTAATCATCTACTGTGATGATATTTAGGTTCCATATTTTGAATTATTAACTTCAGTTCATTCCTGGCACAGACGTATATCCTGTTTTTGCATTTTTCCCCATTTCGTAAAAAACAAAGAGACAATGTTGTTCAAAGCCCTTTCAGGAAATCCAGTTCAGAGTTGGAAAAATGGGTTTGTTTAAGCCTATATCTTTCTGTTAGTAATGTACAATAATGTTTTATTCTGCACAAATTGTGCAGGAGAGAGGAAAATTAGGACATAATGTACAAAGTTATTGCACTGCACCATATTGTTGGCATTGTGCAACAGAAGTCCCCCACAAGTTCCTGGAGTTTCTGGGATCAGTGTAGCTCATAGGCCAGGCAATAGTAGCTGGCATTCTGCAGCCATTAGGGGCAGTTGCAACTGCGTACCCCTGGCTAGCTGGGGCACTGGTTCTAGCTGGGAATCGTTGTGACTGCTTATTGAGTGCAGCTGGATGTTTTGGCATGCACCCCAGGCCAGGAAGCTTATAGGCATGTTTGTGGGTTCCTGGACTTAGTTACCTGTGCAGGACCTGAAAAAGTCATTATCAGTTATACAGTAGATTTATAGTGAATTAGTACTTAGCCACAGAATTCATGTGTGTGCATTTGTGCTTGCGCGCACACGTATGCATATCTGCATGTATTCAGTGCTGGCTATTGGGCTGGTAAGGGGAATTGTAAAGCAATTTTGTATTTCTATGTTGTAAGCCGCCCCGAGGCTTCGGCGAATGGGGCGGCATAAAAATGTTTTAATAAATAAATAAATAAAAATTATTCCCCATCCATTTAGAAATACCTACCTGGATATCTACTTCCATGTATTGATAGCCCCTAGCTGGATTATCACTGATGATGTGAGTCTGTCCAAATCCTGCATTGCTCTTTAACTCAATAAAAATAGCCACTAAAATTTTTGATGTGTTCTTATGCATGTTTAGACAGAAAAGTCTTACAAATTCCTGCACCTCCTAGCCAGTATTAGGTACCCAGTCACCTCCAAACTTACTTATTCCCTCCCAGCAAAATTACATTCTCATTCACGCCCACCCATGTTGATCCCATATTGGTGCATGGGAAGCGTTTTTAATGTTTTGACTGTTTCTTACCGTTATTTTTTGTCTTCACTAATAGCTTTCTTTTTTATTTTTCCCCCCAGTTTCCTCATAGTGCTGGTCTGCCTTATATTCAGTGTGCTTTCCACGATTGATCAATATCAAGCTCTGGCTACTGGAACGTTATTTTGGATGGTATGCATATGGATATTTGCTTAAACTGTAAATAATTTGCATGTATATTTTGGAGGAGATGGAATTAGGATGTGTCTTTGTTTTTGATGAATTCTAATTTGCTAAACTGTCCAAGTGCTGTAACATAGAATGTAGTTGAAATTTCATACCTGTTGAACCAGAAACTACTCCTTGCAATAGGTCAGCCTAAATGTACCACCATGTGCCACAATTCCTAGGATTTAACCTCTTTCCAGTCTATTTTGCTGTAAATGTCATTCATGGATGGTAGGTGCCTAGTGATACCAATAAAAGGTACTGTGGAGCTATTCCGTCTTTCCCTCCTTAAGGATAAAATCCTACTTGTCTTTTGGGAGGAAAAAAGTTCCACTGTTCTTAGCCTTTCCCTGCCAGCACGGCAGGCGGGAGCTATTCTACGAGCTATAGGACTTTATTATGTCTAAACATACATAGGATTGCAGGATAACACATTTCTGTGGTTTCATTTTATCTTCCTGTTACCTATCATTAAAGTGCCAATTCGCAGCTACAAGGCAGTGGCTGAGATACCTGTTAATAGAAAACAAATGGTTTGTGTCAGTCCATGTAAGTATGAGTTGGTCACAGACTAGCTCTGAGGCATACATGAAATTCTTCTTTGCAAGTAGCCTGGTAACTGTACCAGTCTCAGCACTGAGGAGATAAAGGGGTTTTCCTGCCTAGCTTTCATGTCTTTCACATTTCTCTATCTCATTCAGGACTGCTGGCTATTCTGGGTAAGGTGGAGGGCCTCTCCTCTCCTAAGAGATACAGCTCTGCAGTGGGAGTAGGCAACTTTGGATAGCCTCAGTCCTGCCACTACTCCACTGCCAAATCTGGCAAGAGCAAAAAAGAAGCCCTGGCAAGAACATAAATTTAGCCATTTAAGCTTTTTGTATATTTTGCTGCAGAAACGTGGCAGCAAGCTGATGATACTTTTGCCACCGTGATGTTTTTGCAGGGGTTCAACATGGGTGGGGAAGCAGAGGGGGCTGCATAGAGCCCAAGAGCAGCCTGTTATGTATCCCTGCTCCAAAGTGGTGTTAGGGGCCTTGGAAGAGCTTTGGGCCGTCATTGTAATCTACATGGCATTCTACTCCTCAAATCCCCTGATCCAGGGCATGCGTTGCTACTAATTCAATCAACAAAATAGGAACCACTGAATTTTCAAATGTGGAAATGTCAAATGCTCACATTTGTGGCATTTCTGCATACCTTGAAGACTTTTGGTGAAAAGTGGTGTCTCTCTCTCTCTCTCTCTCTCTCTCTCTCTCTATATATATATATATATATATATATATATATAAATATAAAAATAGATAAGAATTTAAAAACTGTAGACAGTTGTTCCAAAGGGTCCCGTATGTTGCCTTTGATCGTATGGACAAACACTGCTTCTGCTTGCTGTTGAAGTCCCTTGAAAATGTGGCTTTCAATTCTGTGCATGCTATCCTTATCCTATCCTTTTGGAGGAATTTATGGATTTGTTAAAATTATATAACTTCAAGTATATGCACTGATAATATCCATAAACTCTGCTCACTGCGTCAGAGCATTCAGACATGAGAGCGTTCAGTAGAAGTACTGCATCTTGCAAGGCAAACTGTGTCAGGTTCGTGGAATGCCTTCTAATAGTTATATAACTGAGCTATTTCTGCCTAGCTATTCTATCCCTCATCAGTATTTCAGCAGGAGTCATTGGCATTGCATTACCTGGCTTAATTTCTTGGGGCAAGCCAGCATTTATATTTCATTTGACTGGCTGCTCTTGGGATACTTCATCTTGCAGTTGCTTTTTAATCTTGGGAATTCCCTATTATATGTGTATTAATATTTAATGTTGGCAAAACCTTAGCCTCCATTTTCCAGAGACTCATCTTTCAAAGTTCTTGTTCAGATGTATAATAGGACTGGGGTTTGTTTTTAAGATGTTCTTCAGATGCAATTCACTGTGTTTGTACAAAGGTGACTTTTGTCACTTATCAATACAAAATGTTTATACAAAGCTGTCATTTTGTCTATTTTTATTCTTGGTGTTCTACTCACAAGTTTTTACATATTGTAATTTACAGTGGCCTGCCTTGAGTACCATTTTTTTCAGAAAGCACGAGACACCTGTAAGAAATCAACAATAGGTTTTGTAACTAGCCTCCTGGAAAGTGTGCATTTGGAAAGTGATTTGAAGCAAGGGAGAAAGCTGGCATTGTTGCTGTTATCATTACATTTATATCCTGCCTTTTTTTCCTTCAGGGAATTCAAGGAGGCTCACATAATCCTCCTCCTCCTCCTCTCAAGTTTATCCTCACAGACAACTCTTTGTGAGGTAGATTAGGCCAAGAGTTAGTGACTGGTCGAAAGCCACCCAGTGAGCTTCATGGCTGAGTGAGGACTAGAACCTGGATCTCCAGAGTCCCAGTCCTGCCCTCCAACCCCTTGACCACACTGGCTCTCATGCAGATGTTCTAAGTGGCAGTTCCAGTTATAATGGAAGGGAAGCAAGGGGGACAGGCAGAATTGGCTGAGGGAGCTGAAGTTCTTTGGGTGGCTAAGGGCTCTGGAGCAGGAGGACTGAAGAAATTTATTGGCAAGGATTTATTGGGATACAAGATAAGGAAGGCAAGGTCATGAAGGACTTTGAAGATAAGGATGAGTGGCATGTATTGGATTTGGAAATGGAGCACCACTGCTGTTAAATTAGGTCATTAATTTAAATGTTGGCTGCTTGTCTGCATTTATTGGCAAAAAAGTTATCTCCCTCTGTGCACTTTCCCCCTGAGACCATCCCATTTGTGCTCTGGGGGCCCTTTGCTAGATTTGAGCAGTAGCAATCACTTGGTCAGGTGTTGTTCTGCATGAATTAGAGATATTTGCTGCAGCACATTTTGATTGTCATGTGCTGCTGTGTTATACAAGTTAAATGTTGTCCTGCCCTTTGGGTGGGTAGATGCGTCAGCAACGTGGGAAGGGCCGAGCCATTTCCTCATGTGTTTAGTGACACCTAATATGTACAACATTCAGTCTTTACTCTTCCCCAATCCATTTTTAGCCTTGACGCAATGGTTTCTATTTGACACTATAGAATAGACTTCAGGCTGCATATCCAGCATCATGTGAGTGGACTTCCTGTCCTTATGTTATGGTAGTTTCCCTTCCTTTCTGCCCTGGAGTCTTGCATTCTCTTCCACAATCTGTTCTGGAGGGCCCCCAACCCCTCTGGAACAGATATGATGGGCACATAGGGCAGCAGGGAGAGGAGGAAGTTGGATTTGGTGGCAATGGTTTTTCTGCTGAAAGAAGAATACTATTGGATACAACCTTCTATCATTATTGAGACTGAGATACCATAGATCTGCCTTCTCCAACCTGGTGCCTTCCACATGTTCTGGACTTCAGCTTCCATCAGCTCTAGCAAACATTGGTCTGGGATTGTGGAAAGATCTCGAGGGCCCCAGGTTGGGGAAGGCTGCCTTAGTTGAAACCCTCACATCCATGTCATGGAAAAATAGGAGTTGGATATCCCAGTGGAAGTTTTGGTTTAAGGAAATGGGTAAGTCTGCAATTGGTGAGCAGAAATGGAGACTAAACAAATGGTTTTCTCTCATTTTTTTGGTAAATACAAAGTACTAGAGAAGGCAGGGAGGCAAGTGGAGGAATATACATGGATGGTGCCTCTTGCTAAAATGCGTCAATCATAGGAAAAGGCAGGCATTGACGGGTAAAATGAAAAAGAAACTAGCCAAAAATTTAGCACACATTTTTAAACGTTGAAAAACCATGCACTTCATTATTGGAAAAGGAAACCAACTAAAAGCTACTGAGATCTAATGGCAAAACAGGAAGAGTTAAACTGAGACTTAGAATAGTACAAGGATTATTGTTTTGTTTCTTTTTAACCTGAATGTTAGGCAGAAAAACAAAAGCCACAACATACTGCTTTAATTTTAACTTCTTACATCCCAGTGGATACAGTCTAATATCACAAAATCCACCCTGGATAGACATCTGTATTAAATGTGGAGTTAATATGTCTTAAGGTTTTGCTCTCTGCCGTTCTTCTGTGATTAAGCAGGGCCTGGGGCCTCCACTGGTCTTGTGAATTATTCCCCAGATTTGACTTGATGTTTGGTGCTGTGATTGTCAGACAGCCAGTGCTTTAGATATTGCAAATACTAGACTGTTTATGTGAATTTTAAAGAAAGTGTTTTCAAACTAATATATTTTCTAGCATCTTTGATAGTATTTTGAAAGCATTCAAAGAAACGTAGAGCTCTCAAGGAAAGATTAAAAAAATTAAGCACTTCTATGTTTGAGTAATTTTAATGGGAATTTTTTAAACACATCTTAGTCTCACTGAAATCAGTGAAACTTTGAAGTGCTTAAGTCTGACTAGATTTTACCTGTGGTTAGTAGTTTCAATGCTGTATAGATTGTGATTTGTGGTAAAATTCGATTTTTCTGTTGTACAATTAACAAGAAGATGCAGGATCATCTTTATGCCACTAGGTGGTGGTTCAGTCAGTTTTTGGCTTTTGCTGGCAATTACTCAACACGAGCTAAAGTAGAATCCTACTCTGGGACTTGATTATCATGCTGTAGGATATATGTACATTTGGCATGCCTAAAATATTGGTGTAAGAGAGTTTGGCCGTGACTCATAAAGAGGAGGAAGCATATTTGTGTAAAAATTGTTTTTGAGAGTTCAGTATTTAAACTATGGAAAAAGTAAACTCAAAGATGTATTCTCCCTGTGAGACTATATTTTTCTTTTCTTTTCATAAGCAGCAGGATTTTATGGTGCCAAGACACAGCAGAATGTTGTTATCTCAGCATGATCTAAGAAAATCCAAGCACACAATCCAAGTGGATTAAACATTCTTCAGAATAGAGGGATATTTAGTGGGCCTGAAAAAGCTATTTTCTCTCAGGAATCTCATTTTGTTGTCAGTTTTGGTCCCAGAATTCCAGCAGTACTTTTTTTTTAT